GAGTTAATAAATGTAACATAGTACCATGCATGGCACACAGGATATTCTATCAGCCAACCCAAAGGAGATTCTTGAACTATAGACCAGGAAGTATTTGTTAACATTTTGAAAATTCTGGATATGGAGTCAAAAAACCAGCATAGTAATTCCAGTTGCCATGCCTTACTTCTGATAATAATTTCCTGAAATGATTAATGGTAAAACCCTAAAAAAAATAAATTACTCCTTATCTTTGGAGTTAACAAAACTGAGAGGAGTTAGGAGATAAGGTCCTTTGAAATGTCTTGTAGAGATTATTTTTCTTATATTTAAAATCTAAGTCATAAAAATTCAAAAGCACACATGCTAAAAAATCCATAATAGTACTTTATGGAAGACTAGTAGGCAAGCTATACATCCTGTAAGATAAAAACTTAATCCTACCAAAAGCTTACCTCTTTGTTGTTTATCTGTTTGTATGTATGTATTTATGTCAGATAATCAATGAAGGAAAGAATCCCAAGGATTCGCCTTCAGTAAACATATTAACCGTAAGATGACGGTTATCAGAGTGTCAGCTCTTTCTATATTTCTTAAAATAGCTCACTGAAAAAGAAAATCTGAGTCTTATATTCAGCTCATATCCTTGGCCCTCACAGCAGTTACACTTTGATGATGTGGAATATATATATATATTTTTTGAAGTGTTGTACAACACAAATACATCTGTTAAAAACATATAATTAATATTAACACAAAACATAAAATTATATTGTCACTGCCCAATAAGCAGACATAAGGTCAGCAGCAATATAACAAGGAGGACAGGCAAGTTTTCAAAGTACCCAAAACATACTTCTAAATTTTAACTGTCCTATGTTTGTTCTTCTCATATTCTTCACCTGCGATGAGATTTCTTATCTCTGCCCATCTAAATCCTATCTACTCTTTAGGTGCCCATTTAAGCCCCAACACTACTCTACAGCCTCTTTTATCTTGCCAGGCAATATGACCTCCTTCTTTTTGAATTTCTAAGGAAATTCCTGTCTTCCATGCTCTCTTGGTACTTGCTTTGTGTTTACTGGTACCATAGCTGCAGTGAAAGAATATAACACACATCAATATTGCCGGACTAAGCACTAATCAAAATATTCCCAGTGAAAAATACCTAGATTTTGAAGGCAATAGGCCTGGAAGTCAATCCTAGCTATTACTAGCTTTGTTATTTAAGTCTACACCATCTGTAATAAACAGGGATATTGCTACATATTTCATAAGGCTTAAATAAATAATAAACAAATAGGCACCTAAATAAATATATAATTATAAACTGTGTTAGCTGTTATAAAAGTAAAATATCACAGCGTTATGAGAAGGAGCCAGCCGTCTACTGAATAGGGAAAAAGAATATTTCCAAGAAAGAAAAGAATGAGCAGAGAATTAGGAATAATAATAATCTGGTGCAGTCAAGGGACTGAAAGAGGCCTGAATGGTTAGAGCTTAAGGAGCAAAAGAAACAGTGAAGGGCATGCAGAGAAGCCACATGTGTTGTGCTGTTACAATCACAAAGGGCCTTGGCAAGCCCTATTGAAGAGTTTGGATTTTATTTGGAGTATAATGGGAAAGTGTTTTAAATTGGGAATGATGTAACCTACTCTTTGTATTTCAAAAGATCATTTTAGCTAATGAACAGAGAATGGATTGGAGGAAATTAAGAAAGAAGTGAGGAGACCTGTTAGAGGCTATTAGAGTACTTCAGATCAGGGATGATGGTGATTTTTGGCTAGGCTAATGGCTGTGACTGAGAGGCTGTAAAAGGGAAGGGAGGCAATGGAGGTGCCATTTAATGAAATAGTGAAAGAATTAAGTTTCAGACACGTTAATTTGAAATACCAGGGAGAAACTCAGTTGGAGAAATCAAATAGGACACACAAATTTGGTGTTTGGTAGATGTCTGGAAAGATGATGAGTAATCAACATAAGGGCCTAACTTTGAAACAGACAATGCCTACTAAAAAGTAATTTGAATAATCAAACAAGAATATAAATTCTCCTTGATACAAAAATGGCTCCATCAAGAATAGTTTAAAGTACTGAATACAACTAAAGAAAAAGTATCACTTGGTTAGAGTTTGGTGCTAATAACACTAAAGTCAAGGGTTAGGATCCTCTTACTGGCCAGCTGCCAAAAAAAAATATATATATATAGTACTGATGAGAAAGATTCATACAGAAGAATGAATCCTTGCCAACTATTAGGGGCAAATATATCTAGTGGCTACATTAGGCTTAGTTAAGGGCCACCAACTATAAAAACGGTAAAGTGAACTATCCTAGTTCTGTTCTATGCTCATCAAGCATTAGAGTAATCCCTTCATTCTCCTATCAAACAATTATTACTATCTTATAAATAACTTGATATTTTTGTCTGGGTCTCAAAAGATTCCTTCTTAACATCTAGAGTGTGTCTGAATTTTGGCCATTCTGAATCAATTTTCCCTATATTATGCTATGCTCTATCAATATAAGGATTTACTTCTTTTTATTTCAAGAAAGTTTTCTTGAATGCATTGCATTATAATTTCAAACACTTATTCTCTTCCTTTAAAAATTTTCTTTTTTCAGAAAGTCTAATATGTATACGTTGCATAGTCATAGTTATCTATCTTCCATTGCTAATATTTTCTTTCTAATCTTTTCAGATTCTCTTTATTTCTATTTTACCTTGTTTACTTTTCCTATTGTATCATCTATGTCACCTACTGAGTTTTCTGCAGTGTCTCCTTGCCTTTATGTTCTAATTTCACCAATTGGTGTGCTTTCCTGTTTCCTGAGTTCTGTTTGCCCAAAGTTATTCTCTTATGGTTGCCGAGCCATCTTTTCCTACAGTTTTTACACTCCTACTTTGTGGGCTTCTTTTAAAGTGAGTGCACTGGTGTGCTTTCCTGTTTCCTGAGTTCTGTTTGCCCAAAGTTATTCTCTTATGGTTGCTGAGCCATCTTTTCCTACAGTTTTTACACTCCTACTTTGTGGGCTTCTTTTAAAGTGAGTGCATAAATTGCTAAAAACATTAAGATTAAATTTTCATCTAATTTGTGTCAATGTTTGTGTGTGTGTGTGTGTGTGTGTACTGTATACATGTGTGTGATTAATCAGTTGCTAAGCTTTGCTGATTTTTTTCTCTTATTAATACCTTTGTATGAATGTCAGGCTAGTTAGTTAATTTTAAATGACATTTTATTGAATGAGTTATATTTTGTTGGACCAGCTATTTATAGAAAATTAAGGGGTCCAGAGGGATAGAAGCACAGGTAATTTTTAAAACCAAAAGACTGTTACATTACCTGATCCTACAGAGGCAGACTGCTTTATCCAAATATGGACCCCTTGCTTCTCTAAACCAAACCTCATCATAGATGTCTTCTGCCCTAGCCTGCTTACTCCAATTCCCATGAGGCTTGCCATAAAAAATGAGGGATCACGTTTTTATACCTCAAAAATAAACTCCTCATCTTTAGGAAGTGCAATTTTCTGTCATATTTTTAAGTTCTGCCACCACTGAGCATTCTTGATATTCCACATTTTTACTCTTCCCTTCTTTCCATGTGGCTTCTGCCAGATAGCTGCTTAAGCAGCCTTTGCCTTTCATTTTGTTTCTGGGTATTATATCTAACTTCTTAGTTTCGCTTAATATGAGGTGGAGTTGTGTGGATAGGAGAGCATGTGTATGTTTAATTTCCCTTGTTGCTTCTGTGTGTTTTCTGGGAAGGTCAGGGAGCAGATATTGACTTACTCTTAATCATACCTAAAAAGTCTATATTCCTAATAATCACATAAATGAGAGGCTGTGTATGATATAAGTAAGCCAGTTATTGTCATTTGGCTTCCATATAGTGTGCCTATAGTGTGAAAATGTGTTGGCCAGAAGATAAAAGCATGTGTGGGACCACTGGCAGATTTGTTTCTCACAAAAATTAATAAATTGACATTCCAACTTCATATATTATTTCCTATTTGCTTATTTGTGAATTTATTTAAATTTATCCCCTATGTAAATGAATTTACCTTTATTCAGTTACTGAGCCTGAATTAAGGCCGAGGTTTACTAAATTGATAGAACCCACTATGTATTAAGCAATACCCAACATGCTATTTTTATCAGCTAAAAAAATCTTAGGTTTTTTTACAAAAATAAATCCTGCTCTGAAAAAAGAAGAATAAATGTAATAGTTGCTAAATTATAGAATGTTTCATTTAGCTTCTTTAGTCACGTCACTTTTTCCTTCTTCATGTTGTTTGTGAACAAACTAGTATACTATGTATTCTTTTGGGTGTTTAAGCTTTTAAAAAAATTCCATTGAGGTTTTATTGGAGAAGAGGTTATGTCAATGTACACTAGAGTCTTATATATGTTTAATGTGGCATGACTTCAAATTTTCCATTACCGCCTTCTTCCCCTAGGAACTTAGTAAGGTCAAGTCCATGATATTTTACTGTCTTGAAACACATCCCAAACTTGCATTCTTCTTTTTAAGTAGTAATAATAGCTAATAGAAACATATGTTAATCTGCGATATTAATAAATTCATAATATTGAATTATGTCATATTAATAAATATAGCCCAATTCAAAAGTTAGAAAAAATTTGGCAATACTAATTTTCTTTGGCAATATTACTATCTTTGCTCATGATTTTTATTATTCCTTCAGATCAATGAGCTAGTAAAAGGGATACTGAAAGATATGTGTTCAGTTAGAGGCCAGATTTTAAAAAATAAACACTTAAGAAATAATCCAAATAATGGTGTATTGCTCAAAAGAATGGCGATACAAGTTCCTACATCCTATTAAAAAACTTTTGACCTGGAAAGTGCATTTGGTTCAGACTAGACAAATACTAGAGGAATCAGAACAAAACATAAAAAAGAAAAAGAAAATTAAGTTTAGAAGTTAACATTATTAAGAGGAAAAATTTTAAAAACAGAGATAAGCAATACCATAGATAGCAAGAATTTTATTACCTTCAGGTCGATATTGTGCAACAATTGTGACAGCTTGTCCAGCATTTTTCAATGCGGTTGCTGCCTGCTCATGACTGGCAGTTCTGAGGTCAACACTATTTACCTGCAAATCAAACCACATTTTAATTTGAGAGAAAATATCACTTTGGTTAGAAATCACAATAGCCTGTTTTACGAGTAGGCATAGATTAAAAACAAAAACAAAACGTTAGTTGCAATAACTTTACCACTAATACGTTTTTTGTTCTGATTTGTTAAAAATACATTGCACAGTAAAACAAAATATTATCATCGCTCAAGGCAATTTTATTCACTAAAAATACTTTGCTTAATGTCAAGTGAACAAAATCAAAACATTTCCCCCCAGAAGACTGGCTATCAATTCATTGAAAAATGTACCTTCATTTGACAACCTGAAAAATCAACAAGCGTCATCATTTTGCACATTTCATTTCATTAGTAACTCAAGCAATGGGAGGGGAATTCATTTTGCTTGTAGCATCCATTTATCCCCCGCCACATTCTCACCTCTACTGCTCAATCAGTTCCAATTTTTTTCCTTCCTTTCACAAACTAAAGCTTTCATTCTTTTGCTGTGACAGGAAAGCAATTACTTAAAAGTACTGAACTGACTTAAACAGAGTAAATGTCAATTAAATGAACCAGGAGAAAGACACTGTTTGAATAAAAGGCACTTCCTTGGGTGAAATAATTAATGAGGTGACTAATCCTACTCCAGAAGAATAAGCAACTTAATTCTTATTTCTGAAAGTCTGCCAATATTTAGTATATACTGCAAGGAGAGGTTGTTCCTTTTCCACTATAAGACAAACTTAAGAGGACATTCATGGAAGAATTATACTTGAGTAACTTTAAATATATAATTAAAACAAAATTAAGAACCAGCAATGAATAGAGTACTGCAATTTTGGGACATTCGTTGAAAATGCAATTTTTATATGAAAACCTGTTTCACTGAGATCTACTCTAAATCCTGTTAAAGATCACATACCAATTTTTGAAAATTCGACCACGAGCCCCCAAATTCTTGGGATCATAAAATTTATACAAAGTACATTTTACCATGTAAAAATCTGATGTTTTATATTATCTATAAAGGATATCATTATGCAACTAAATTAAAACATAGAACCACCAAATGAAAACCAAGATCTAAGAACCCTAATCTAAACAAATATAACATAATGTGGTTAGTAAAGAATATATCCAGCTGATAGCTATAAAAAACTCAATACAATGTATAAATAGTTCTACTTTATGCATAAAGAAAATCCTCCTAATTTCCAGGAGAACAAATTAGGGAAAAATTATAAAAGAAGATAAACTTTCAAGGAGTATAATAGAAAAGATGAAATTCTTAAATGAATTATTCCTGTGCATTAAAAATCCTTTTGTTACAGAAAAGATTTGAAGACAACCTATATAGATTTAAAAGAGCATAATTTGTTGAGCAAGGCTACAAATTAAAGACTTTCCAAAATATTATTGAACCTTTCAATGGAAGATACATTATCAAGGATATTTTATAAGAAATTCCTGTACTGAGAGACATATTTGCGTAAATAGCCTTAGGGTCACTTTTTTTTTTTTATATACCAACATTTAAAAAAATGAAGGAACAATTCACACCATAAAATTCACACATTTAAACAGTACGGTTTAGTCATTTTCAGTACATTCACAAGGGTGCACAACTATCACCATAATCTAATTCCAAAATAGCTCGTAACCCCCAAAAGAAACCTTATACCCATTAGCAGTCACTGCTGTCTCCCCTCTCAATCTCTGGCAACCACTAGTGTTCTCTCTGACTCTGTAGATTTGCCTGTTCTGTATACCATAAAATTCACACATTTAAACAGTACGGTTTAGTCATTTTCAGTACATTCACAAGGTTGCACAACTATCACCATAATCTAATTCCAAAATAGCTCGTAACCCCCAAAAGAAACCTTATACCCATTAGCAGTCACTGCTGTCTTCCCTCTCAATCTCTGGCAACCACTAGTGTTCTCTCTGACTCTGTAGATTTGCCTGTTCTGTACATTTCAAATAAATGGGATACTATAATATGTGGCCAACTGTGGTTGGCTTCTTTCACTCAGTATGTTTTCAAGGTTCATCCTTGAAGCATGTACCAGTGCTTCACTTCTTACTACGGCTTCATACGAGGGTACTTCAAAAAGTTTGTGGAAAAATTGAATTAAAAGGTAATATGAATTCTTCCATGAACTTTTTGAAGACCTCTCATATTTTGTTTATCCATTTTATACCTAAGCATTTTATTCTTTTTGATACTAATGTAAATGGAATTATTTTTGTAATTTCACTTTCAAGTTATTTAATGCTAGTGTATAGAAATAAAACTGATTTTTGTATATCCTCCAACCTTGCTGAACTCATTTATTAGCTCTAATAGTTTTTGTTGTTGGATTTCTTAAGATTTTCTGTGTACAAGATTACGTCATCTAAAAATAAAGATATTTTTTGTTCTTCCTTTTTATTCTGGAAGACTTTTATTTCTTTTTCTTGCCTAACATCCCTAGCTAGAATCTCCAGTACAATGTTGAATGAATAGAAGCAGAAAGAGCTGACACTCTTGTTTTGTTCCCGATTTTAGAGGGAAAACTTTCAGTCTTTCACCGTTTGTGTGATGTTAGCTATCGGTTTTTTATAAATACCCTTTATCAGTTTGAGGAAGTTCCCTTCCAATCCTAGTTTGTTGAATTTCTTTTCCCAATCATAAAAAGGTGTTGGTTTACAATTGCTCTCTCTATGTCTATTGAGATGACCATGTGATGTATGTCCTTTACTCTATTAAGATGGTGTTTTACTTTGACTTTTTCCTATGTTCCACCAACCATACATTCCTTGGATAAATTCCACTTGGTTATGATGTAAAAGGTTTTTTTTTTAATCCTTTTTTATACTTTGTTATTTTGTTGAGGATTTTTATATCCATATTCAGAAGGGATATTGATTTATGGTTTTCTCTTCTTATGATGTCTTTGTCTTATTTGGTATAAGGATAATACTGGCCACGCAGAATGAATTTGGAAGTGTTCCTCATGCTTCTTCCTTTTTGGGGAAGAGTTTTGAATGATTGGTGTTTTCTTTAAACATCTGGCAGTACGCACCAGTGAAACCATCTGGTCCTGGTCTTTTTCCATTGTGGGTAGTTTTTAGTTACTAATTTAATCTTCTTACTTATTATAGGTCTATTTAGATTTTCTATTTCTTCTTGAGTCAGTTTCAATAGTTTATGTTTTCCTAGGAATTTATCAACAGTTATATAATACTGCCATGAGCCTCACAACGATGTTTTGGTCCATGATGGACAGGATGTACAACAGTGGTCCCATAAGATTATGATATTAGATTTTAACTGTACCTTTTCTATGTTTAAATACACAAATGCTTACCATTTTGTTACAACTGTCTACAGTATTCAGTATAGTATCATACTGTACAGGTTTGTAGCAATACAGGTTAAAGCAATAGGCTTTACCATATAGCCTAGGTGTGTAGTAGGCTATACAATCTAGGTTTGTGCAAGTACACTCTATGATATTTACACAACAAAATCACATAAAAACAAATTTCTCAGAATGCAAACCTGTTGTTAAGTGATGTATAACTGTATATTCAACTTTATGATACATATCAGCTATAACTATATAATAATATATATGCATCCTTTGCTTTTAGTAACACTTTTTGTCTTAAAATCTAGTTTGATATTATTATAGCCACTCTAGGTATCTTTTGGTTATTGCCTGCATGAAACAATTTTTTTTTTGTTTCTAACCTTTCACTCTAAACTGTCTCTCTTATAGAACAGTACGTAGTTGGCTTCTGTTTTGTAGTCTACTCTACCAATCTTTGCCTTTTAATTGGAGTGCTTAGTCCACTTACATTTAATTACTAATAAAGTAGAATTTGTCATCCACTTTGCTATTTATGTCTTATGTTGCTTTTGTTCCTTTACTTCTCAATTACTGCCTTCTTTTGTGTTAAATAAATATTTTCTAGTGTACCATTTTAACTCCCTTGTCATTTCTTTTAATACATATATTTTGAGTCATCTTCTTAGTGGTTACCCTGGATTATAATTAATATCTTATAATGAACTAATTTGGATTCATATCAACTTAATTCCAATAGTATATAAAACTCTGCTCTCATCTAACTCTGTTCCCTCTACCCCCCTAGTGGTGTTATTGTCATATTAATTACAGCTTTATATCACATGTGCCCATTAACACAGATTTGTAATTATTGCTTTATTCAGTTGTCTTTTAAATCAGATTGGAGAAAAGAAGAGTTACAAATAACAAATACACTTATGCTGTATTATATTTACCTATGTAGTTACTTTACTGATACTCTTTATTTCTTCATGTGGATTTGCGTTACTCTATACTGTCTTTTCATTTTAGCCTGAAGGATTCCCTTTAGTATTTCTCATAGGGCAAGTTAACTAGAGATGAACTCCCTCAGCTTTTGTTTATCTGGGATTGTCCTCATTTCTTCTTCATTTCTAAAGGATACTTTGGCTGTAAATAGAATTCTTGATTAACAATTTTTTTCTTTCAGAACTTTTAATATGTCATCTCATCGCTTTTCTGGCCTCCATGGCTTATGATAAGAAATCAACTGTTAATCTTATTAAGAATCCCTCACACATGATGAGTCATTTCCCTTTTGCTGCTTTCAAGATTCTCTGTCTTTCAAAAGTTTGATTATGATGCATCTATGGTGTGAATCTCTTCAAGTCTTTTCTTATTGGAGTTCATCAAGCTTCTTGGATGTGAGTATTAATATTTCCCATGAAATTTTGGAAGTTCCTGGGCATTATTTATTCAAATATTCTTTCCATCTCTTTCTCTCTTTCCTGTCCTTTAGGCCCTCCCATAATGCATATTCTGGTACACATGATGGTATTTCATAGGTCTCTGAGGATCTGTTAATTTTTCTTCATTCTATTTTCTTTCAGTTCTTCAGCCTGGATAACCTCAATTGACCTATCTTCAAGTTTGCTGATTATTTCTTCTGTCAGCTCAAATCTGCTACTGAGCTTGT